ACCGCTCGTTTTTTTTTTCCGTTGTTTCCTGTTCCTGGACTCGGTGCTCGCCATATCCCAGTCTCCCCGCCATATCCCCACCTTCATCTCTCCTCCATGCCTCCACCTTCGTCCTCCACCTGTCCATCTTTCCTCCATCTTTCCTCCATCTCTCCTCCATCTCTCCTCCACCCTCCACCTTCATTTCTCCTCCATGCTTCCACCTTCATCTCTCCTCCATGCCTCCACAAGGTGCACCATCATCTCCCCTCCATACCTCCACCTTTCTCCTTTGTGTCCATCTCTCCTCCACCTCCGTATCTCGCCCTCTGCCTTCCATCTCTCCCCATATCCCCATCTGCAAGGAACATGAGTATGGACGAAGCACAGAAATCTAGAATGCAAAATCACACTAAAGTCCAAGTATTCAAAGCCAAAGCAGATAGCACATGGAACCGAGTAACCATCCCATTGAGAATGATACAGAAGAATCGTGAGTCAATGTCCATGCCCAACAGGGCAACACCAACAGCATAACCCAAATGTAGTAACCATCCCATTGAGAATGATACAGAAGAATCGTGAGTCAATGTCCATGCCCAACAGGGCAACACCAACAGCATAACCCAAATGTAGCTCTCTCTTGTGAATGGCGCCAGGCGCCCTATCTACTCTACAGCCTATCCTACAACTACAGCAATGAACAGCAACCAGACAACTTGACTACCAGCGAGTGATGATGTCAACACCAATGCAGACCTCCACCATCACCAGGTACGTGTCCTCTTCCCCACACTCTTCCTTGTTACCCACACAGCGCCCTTCACCTCCGAAGTACTACCTTCGCCCTCACCTCCCCTGCACCCTCATGCGGCCCAGGCTATGGCCGCCAGTGCCCTCAGTGCAGGCAGCGCCCTAGCGCTGGCCTGCTTGCTCTTAGCGCAGCACTGCCTTGCACAGCGCAGCACACATGCATCCGCGCAGCGTGCCCGCAAGTGCCAGCATTGGCCAAGATGCCCACTGCCTCGCCCTGCTTGCCTATATGCCAGTGCAGTGTGTGGGCGGCCTCCCTTCAGCCTGTGACCGGGGCCCAGAGGCTGAAGCCAACTCGATACAGTTGGTCCCCGGGGTAAGGCAGTTGCGCCTCCTTCATCAAGGCCTGCGGCCAGATTCAGACAGTGGGCCGATTTCCCTTTGGCATTTTCGGCCTCTCTTCCCAGTATGCATTGTCGGCCTCACGTTCAGATGCCCAGGGCCTAACCAACTCAGAGGCCCTGGGCTTTCAGCCTTTGCTGAAATCCGATACTCGGTGCACTCCAACCAACTGGCGTGCTGCAACTGTATGGACCCCACTTCGTGAAATGTTGCACAGAGGGCTCTTGTCAATTTGCTGGCCCGCCTTCACTTAGGGCGGGCACTAGGCTTGCTGGGGCCTTAGCCCAGAACATGTACATCATGGCAAGGCCCCTACTTGAGGGCTCAATCCTCACACATCTCCCTCTCATATCCCCTCCACCTTCATTTCTCCTCCATTCACGACCTTTCTCTTCCATCTCTCCATGTCTCCTCCATCTCTCCTGCATCTGCCGTACATCTGTCCTCCACTTGATTTCAAGGCAGACAACATACCCCCTTTTGTCTTTTTTTCTTCGTTTCTGTTATATAACTTATATAATTTATATTATTAATTATTTTGATAATTGTCGACTTGATTTGAAAATTTTGAAGGGAGACTTCCGAAGACAGCGACTGAGGAGATTGTTTTTTTTTTTGAGTTCGTCCTGTTTGGCCAGCCGTGTTGAAAGGGGGTGGTGGTTGTGGAGGAGTCTACGGCGGGAGGGGGGAGGACACAGAGTCTGGTGTGGGTGAATCGGGGATGTAATGGGAACTATGGCTGATTTGGTGGTCCTGCTCGTTTTTTATGTGTGCAGGTCGCAATGACGAGCAGCAAGCTCGCCGGTGACATGGTCAAGCGCTATTTCATTGTCGTCATCCTCTGATGATGATGACGGTGATAATGATACCGATGGTGATGATGATCGTGATGGTGATGGTGATGGTGATGATGATGATGACGGTGATGGTGATGATGATGGTGGTGACCGGAAACAGGACGGAGGTTCTGAATCTTCTGATGATGAGGACGAGGAGAGCGAACAAGAGGAAGAGAGTGGGGAGGAAGGGGCTGCGGAGGGACAGGACAGAGGTTTGAATCTTCTGATGATGGAGAGGCTTAGAATTATGATCTGGCCCACTGCAAACTCTGAGCTCTACGGCAACAATGCAATTCACTGTTTTGCTGACTAGAGGTTATATAACTGACTTAGCAACATTGCAATGGGGAAGCTCTTTCGGATGTTGTCTTGTCCCAGGCTATTTGTGGTTTCTTCGTGATGTGTCCCACAACTTCGACTTTCTGACAGTGTGTCCCTCTGCAGTTGTCTGTTTTCATGATGAGGCACTCAGATGCACTGTTTCTGCATCTGCAAACATGAGCAGGTGAGTACCGACCGAACAACCTGCCCCACCTGCTGCATGAAATTTGATGTTCTTGCAATGTCGTAGTTGGCAGTTGGAATTCAAAGTTCTCAAACTCCAAACTTCAAAGTTGACGCTTGAAACTCAGTTGAAAGTTCACTGTTACTGGTTCTCAGTCGTACCAGCACA